GGCTGCATTTGCTGCTGGTTTTCGAGCAAACTCGAAGCACATTCAGGTGCAGTCTCAAGCTTGTGCAAATGCCTTACCAAGTGAAAATTCCCCTGTTGGACAAGGTCCTGTTGGAGTTCCGGTGGAGAAAAGAGGGTTGTCCCAGATTTCAGAGAACCAAGCTGCTGTAAATTCAATGTTGAATAAATTTCGCGATTTGAAACTTTATGAGAATTTGGATTTCGTTGCAGAAGATCAGAAGGATGAAGTGATTGTAAATCTCTTGCATCAGATTAAAGAACTTGAAAGACAAGTAAAGGAGCGGAAAGAGTGGGCGCACGAAAAGGCAATGCAAGCTGCAAAGAAACTGAGTCATGATCTCACTGAGCTTAAAATTTTGAGGATGGAAAGGGAAGAGACCCAACGCCTGAAAAAAGGCAAGCAAACTTTAGAGGACTCAACAATGAAACGACTATACGAGATGGAGAATGCTTTGAGAAAGGCCAGTGGTCAGGTGGACCGTGCAAATGTGGGAGTGCGACGCCTTGAGACAGAAAATGCAGAAATTAAGGCAGAGATTGAAGCTTTAAAGTTAAGTGCTTCCGAGTCTGCCACTGCTTGTTTGAAGGTTGCAAAGAGGGAGAAAAAAAGCCTAAAGAGACTACTGGCCTGGGAAAAGCAAAAAACAAAATTACAGGAGCAGATTGCAGAGGAGAAGGATAAGATATCAAAGTTGCAAGATGAATTGGAGATGATCAAGTTAGCTCAACAAGAGGCCGAGGTAAAAACTCTTATGCTTCCACTTTTCCTTTCACAATTAGTTGATGTTCAACAGCAATTAGCAAAGCCAAGTTGTAAATAGTTTTCTGGTTCATATTGCTGAGGTGATTTGCTATTTACGCAAATAATGGCAATGAATCAACACAAGTAACAGCAAGGATTAGTAACTCAGCTGTCAGCTCCCTTTAGGATATGAATAGCTGAACCATTTTTTTACCTCTTTGAGCTTAATGATTTACCATTTTGCTGAGTATAAAACAGGATTGAGAACTGTAGGTTTGATTTTGCCAAAAAAATAGTTGCATAACCCGAGGTTTGCAAGTCGTCTTAGTGTCTTTTCTGCTCGAGTCATCTGAGATTGATAATATAAAGGCTATGGTTCAAAATCATTATAGTTTCAAGGCTGTTCCTTTTTCCTGCTTTTCTTGTATATCACTGATACCATTGTTTCGTTAAAAGTAGGAACTGTAGTATAAAACTTTTTAGTATAATTTTTCACTGCTCAGCTAATTTTGGACTCTCATGAAAACATAGTGATTCTGCTTCTGTGATGGTCATACCTTTGCTTTGGTTATTTGCCGGAAGTTTGCAGGCTGCTTATCGCTTGAAAGTTTCAAAATCTGCATTTTGTTTGTCCTGAATATGCATAAACTAGAAGGAAATTGTGCTTGTGAATCGTAGATCACTCTTTGTTCTTTTAAATGTTCTATCTAATGGTTCCTGATTATATTAGATGATTGAATTCCTGCTTGCTCTAAGCACCAATAAAACCACCTTCCATTGCAACCATGTGGGTTATCAGATTAGTTATGTTGGTGATTGCTATGCTTATATAAGTGGGTGTCGCAGTCTATTTGTCCTGCTTTCCTTGTTCACTCAAACACTTTGTTTCTTGCCTCTGGAATAACATGTTGCTGCCATTGTAGTTCTCTTGTAAAACAATACCTTCATATAGTGTTCCTTATCATTTACCGTGCGAAGGATGATGGATGTTCTACAGGTGAGGTGGAGGCATGAGGTGAATGCTAAAGAGGCTGCCATGGTCCAAGTGGAAGACAAGAGACGTAGTAAAGAAGCAGCGGAGGCAAGTAGTAAAAGAAAGCTCGAGACGTTACGCCTTAAGATAGAGATAGATTTTCAGCGCCACAAGGATGATCTGCAAAGGCTTGAACAAGACCTTTCTCGTCTACAAACATCTGCACAATCCACTGATGAACCACACCACCCCTCCAATAACACACCCAAAAGAAGTTCAGAGGATGTAAGACCCCAGGGAGAAACCATTGCAAAAATGCTTCGTGAATTGGATAACTTTGAGGATTATTCAGAGAACGAGGTCGAGCGCAACCGTGAATGCATAATATGCATGAGAGATGAGGTTGCTATTGTTTTCTTGCCTTGTGCTCACCAAGTTCTGTGTAACAGTTGCAGTGATAACTATGGCAGAAAGGGCAAAGCAACATGCCCATGTTGTCGGGTTCCAATAGAACAAAGAATCCGAGTTTTTGGTGCGAGTTTGTAGAACGATAGTAGGAGTTTTCAAAGAATAGCATATCTCAACTGTAACATTTCTTTGTTAAAAGATACTGAGTTTACAGTGCTCTGCAGACTTTGGTCATATATATACACCTTTGAATATGTTTACTTCAATATGCTTTTGGTATATGAGAATGGTTACAGTGTATACAAATAAAACATAACAAAACAAAGTTGCTTTGCTTATGGCAACTTTTGCGTTCCACGAATTGTCACCGACTTTTTTCATGATTTGTGTATGTTGTTCATGTTGTATGAAAACTATTTATTTTCATTGATAGACCTATTTTTAAGGGTTTTTTTTCACACTAGGAGCTTGATGAATCCATATTCATATAGTATGAACCTTTGGACCTAAGACATTTCAAAAAAAAAAAAAAAAAAAAAAAGAATTATAATAAATAAGAGACAAAAGGGCCCAACCGGGTTCGAACCGGTGACCTCTTGATCTGCAGTCAAATGCTCTACCACTGAGCTATGGACCCATTTTTGTACACTCATCCAACTTTAATATATATATTTATATTTTAGATTCTCAAGACAACACTAAGAAGGAGTGGGGTCGATAAGCAAAGCCGAAGCGGAATTGATGGGCGCCGAGAAAAATGCCTCAGAAAGGATTTTGGGATAAGGTACCGTTTTCGTCTTCTAAACCCCACTTTCTGATGCAAATGATTACGAATCAATGGCTTCCTGTATTTTCAACAATGTATTTTGCAGGTTGAAGACGACCCCCAGCTGTTCATTTGGCTGGAATTGGAATTTCGGCAATGCCAACAACAAAGACAACAAACCCCAAATCAAATACCACGATATCGATCTTCCATTTCCTCTCTCGCTCGTCGATAATACATTCTTGAAACGTATTTTTCTTTCCACTCTTGAAATCCCTGTGTTTGACTGTTCTTTAATGCCTTTTTGCTTTCAAATCGTAACAACATAGTCCTTAGTATGTAACAATAGTCTCGTCGTGTAAGATTTGTAAGAATTTAGTCTCTTCGATGAAAATCGTCACCAAAATGGTGATGTTTTTAGTCTTCTTGGTTTATAAACACACATAATCAGTTGTCGCTTAATTGAATGCCATTTTTTTCCTCTTTCCATTGTTGGAATCTTTGTTTTGAGTGTTCTTGAATGTTCCTTACTTAGTCTTTGTTTCTAATTTTTGTTTCCCTCTGGCTTAATGTGCTCAGAAATGGTGCTTCTATGTTTGTTTGTTCCATGAAGATTTATGTGCTGGGTGTGTGGGAAATCTCTGATTCAAGTTGCAGAATAACTTCAATGTTTCTTAGGAAGAAAAACTCAATGAGCTGATGATTTTTTTACTCTCCCCCTGCTTGATCATATACTATAAAAAAATCTTACATCTGAATTATGCACTATAAAAACATATGGTTCATCTTGTAGAAACTTGTTACATTGTTCTTCAGATGCATTTGCCTTGAATCATAATGTTCGTATTACGTTGTAGTGTTGTGAGATCCCACATCGGTTGGTGAGGAGAACGAAACACCCCTGTGGAAACCTTTCCCTAACAAACATGTTTTAAAATTTTTAAGGGAAGGTCTAAAGAGGACAACATCTGCTAGTGGTACACCACATAGACCCATAGTTGAATTGTCAAAATATTTTTGCAGGTAAGGAACTGAAATGCTGCTATAAGGCCACGTCAGACGGATTCAGCGCCACCGATTTCCACACGTGTTGTGATTTCAAAGGGCCATGTGTCATAATTGGGTACACAGACAAATCCTTCAAGTTTGGTGCATTCAACCCAGAAGGCTACAGAAGCACAGATGACTACTATGACACTTTTGATGCATTCCTCTTCTATTGGGAACACAATGAGACGGCTGATGATCCCATCATCTTGCCTAAGGTAGGGGGTAGCGGTGCAGCTTTGTTTGATTACGCGAGGGGCGGGCCACAGTTCGGGGCGGACGGGCTGCTGATCGGCCCCCCTCTAGCACCTGTGATGGGCGGCTTTGCAGGGCCAGACACGAACTCAGGCATTGGGGACTTAAGGCAAGCCAAGTCTCGGCTCGGGCTGTCGTATGCCAAGAGAAAAGATGGGAAGGACTCCATTTTTGGAGATGCAAACAGAGCTGTTGTTGCTGAAGTACAGGTCTTTTGCAGCCCTCGAATAGCAAGCTTGTATTGAAAGAAGGATGAGTTCTTGGTAGACTAATGACTAAATTATTGCTATTATAGCTATAATAACTGAATCGGTATTCATGTTTCAATTATGCACGAGGTTGTGTTATTGTTTAATTTCTTTTTTTTTTTTTTTTTTTTTTTTTTATAAAATGTTTTATGTAAAATTATATATAAACTTAAATTAAAAGTTATATTTTGTTTACTTGTTTGATAATAATAAAAAATTAAGAAAAATGGATATAAAATAATTGTGTTAAACAAAACCTATTTTTAGTTTAAAGACATAAAAAATAAAAAATAAAAACGAACGGACAAAATTAGAAACAACAAATTAAATTCACTTTCTCATAACTCTTAAAAATGAAAGCAAAACGGATAGAAGGAAAAAAATAACAAAAGAAGGGCCCAACCGGGTTCGAACCGGTGACCTCTTGATCTGCAGTCAAATGCTCTACCACTGAGCTATAGACCCTTGGTGTTATTTCACAAGCTGGTTATTGTTAATTACATAAAACTAAATTGATAGCCTTAAAACAGGGCAGCTTAGAACAATTTCTCCAGCTTTCCTACCACTGCCAACGGCGCTCCTCTCTCCATCCTTTCATAATATTTGTATTCACAATGAGATAAGGCAACTGCTCTGACCCATCTTCCTCCAAACCTCATGCCCTCTCCCATGGCGCCTCCTCTTTCTTCCCCTCTCGATGTCAAACCAACTCACATGTTCTTCATTTCCCCACTGCGCCCCAACAATTTCACCAAACCCTTAACAGTCCTCTGTACCTCCTCCAAATCCCCTCCAAAACCTTCTCAAATTTCCTCAGAATCAAATGACAGAAAAACCCCATCTCTATCCGAGCAGCTCAAGAATCTCTCCACGACCACGCTTCCCAATGCACCCAAAGACGAATCCCCTCTCCTGTCGAAGCCTAAATCCACCTGGGTGAACCCCACCAAGCCCAAGCGCTCGGTTCTAGCTCTCCAAAGGCAGAAACGCTCTTCTTACTCATATAACCCCAAACGCCGAGACCTTAAAACCTTTGCCCACAAGCTCAACGCCTGTGAATCCTCTGAAAGTGCTTTCATCGCGGCTCTTGAGGAAATCCCACATCCACCCACTAAAGAAAATGCCCTTCTGATTCTCAATAGCTTGAAGCCATGGCAGAAAACTCATCTGTTCTTCAATTGGATCAAGACCCAGAATCTGTTTCCTATGGAGACTATCTTCTACAATGTGGCTATGAAGTCTTTGAGGTATGGTAGGCAGTTTCAGCTTATTGAAGATCTTGCAAATGAGATGATTAGTAGTGGGATTGAGCTTGATAACATTACTTATTCTACCATAATCACTTCTGCTAAAAAGTGTAGTAGATTTGATAAGGCTATGGAGTGGTTTGAGAGAATGTATAAAACTGGTTTGATGCCTGATGAGGTGACTTACTCTGCTATTTTAGATGTTTATGCTCATTTAGGCAAAGTTGAGGAGGTTCTTAGTTTGTATGAAAGAGGGAGGGCTAGTGGTTGGAAGCCTGACACTGTCACATTCTCTTTGTTGGCGAAGATGTTTGGGGAAGCAGGGAATTATGATGGGATTATGTATGTTCTTCAAGAAATGAAGTCTCTAGAGGTGCAGCCTAATCTTGTGGTGTATAACACTCTGTTGGAAGCAATGGGGAAGGCTGGGAAGCCTGGTTTTGCAAGGAGCCTGTTCAACGAAATGATTGAATCGGGGATAACGCCGAATGCGAAGACGTTGACTGCATTGGTTAAGATTTATGGGAAGGCGAGGTGGGCTCGAGATGCTTTAGACTTATGGGAGCGGATGAGGTCGAACGGGTGGCCAATGGACTTCATTTTGTATAATACATTGTTGAGTATGTGTGCTGACCTTGGTTTGGCGGAGGAAGCTGAGAAGCTCTTTGAAGAGATGAAGAGGTCGGAGCAATGTCGACCAGATAGCTGGAGTTACACGGCGATGTTGAATATATATGGTAGCGGAGGTAACGTCGAAAGAGCCATGGAGTTGTTCGAAGAAATGCTGGAGTTGGGTGTTGAGGTTAATGTGATGGGCTGCACTTGTTTGATTCAGTGCTTGGGGAAAGCTGGGAGAATTGATGATCTTGCAAGAGTGTTCGATGTTTTGGTACAAAAAGGGATCAAGCCAGATGACAGACTTTGTGGCTGTTTGCTGTCTGTTGTGTCTTTGTGTGACAATAGTGAAGACATTAACAAGGTATTCGCTTGTCTGCAACAAGCTAACCCAAACTTAGTTGCCTTCATAAACCTTCTGCAACAAAACGACATTACCTTTGAAGTTGTCAAAGACGAATTCAGGAACATTCTCGGCAACACTGCAACAGAAGCGCGACGACCTTTCTGCAATTGCCTAATTGATATATGTCGAAACCAAAATCTTCATAAGAGAGCTCATGAGTTGCTTTACTTAGGAAGTATGTATGGATTGTACCCTGGGTTACACAACAAAACCGATGCTGAATGGTGCTTAGATGTTCGATCGCTATCAGTAGGCGCAGCTCAGACTGCACTCGAAGAATGGATGATAACTCTAACGAAGATCGTTCAACGAGAAGAAGCATTGCCAGAATTGTTATCAGCTCAAACCGGTGTAGGAACTCACAGGTTTTCTCAAGGACTAGCCAATTCATTTGCTTCTTATCTAGAAAAACTTGCTGCTCCATTTCAAATGCAAGAAGACCGGGCTGGGTGGTTTGTAGCCACAAGGGAGGATTTAGTTGCATGGGTGCGTTCAAGTGAACCATCTGTGGCTGCCACAACAGCTTAATCAGCCATGGGGTTAGTAGCAGGCACCTGTCAGGACTAGAATGTATGAGTTAATTCAAAAAGTAATGTGTTTTTCAGAAGCATATTCGGGTTCATATTGCATGTAAAAGAACATAATTCAGAGAGAAACACGGGCCTTCCATTTAGGCACAGAGAAAACTTGGGACTGCTCAATTCTATAATCCGGAGTGGTGGAATCCACCATACAAGGGACTGCTCAATTTTTCAGCAACTAAAATTATACCCCCACCAATTTACATCCACATTCCTTTCTTTTTTTTTCTTTCTTTTTTGGCCTAAAATGATAAAAAGAGGCACAAACGAATGGCAAGTGCCTGATCCCTATGCAAAAATGCTTTCTTCCTTGGAGGTGTCTAAAAGGGGAAGGAAACAATAGATAATAGAAGGTGAAAGAAGTTAAATTTTCCAATTGACCGCTGTTCATCCTCCAAACCAAAGTGTGGCATCTAGCTGCGCCTTTGGGAATGTGCATCCAACTTGTAGCCTTTCGTTGATATCACATGAGTTCGTCCAATTTCTTCAGGCTGGCTTGCTGCTTGAGATGCATAAGAAAAAACGTAAGGCGATCCATGAAATATGGGACGGTTGTATGTTCATGTCACTTGCAGAGCACCATCCGAGTTGAAGGCACGAATGTCGTTTCACTTGACCAGAGATTTATGAAAGTCTTTCAAAGGTATTTTCCTGAGGATTTCCAGATTCTTCCTTCAAGTGAAATGACCATAACAGTAACGTCGTCATGATACTTCCTCCGATCCCCCTGTGGGATGTCCAACAATTCGTGAAAATCCATTCCTGCAAAGCATAGACATTGAGAGACCAATCCTGAATGAGAATCAACCTTGAGAAAGGCATCACTGTGAAAGACTTTGGTAATCATTGAGAATGCAACAAGGAAAATAGACCAATATCACGATATAGCCTTAAGATTAAATAAAGAGAATAGTTTCAGAACAAGGGTGAGCTTGTTTAAAATGCCACAGGCGAGTAACTAAAATAGAAGTGACTTTGGTTATTCTAAAATCACTTCCAAGCATGCCTTTAACTAGATGAACTGTTAGGGAATGATGCATTTAATCCAGTTTTTAATAACACGTTCGAGTTATTAATGAAAACAAAAGCCAAAATTTGACATAGCATAAGATCAAGCAACTACCTGCTTTTCTAGCAGCACGGCAAAGAAGCTCCTCTATCAAGTGCTGTGCAGGGTCTCCATCTGGAAACTTCTCCATAAAGTTCTCAACATAAGAAACCACTTCTTCGTTGGTTAGATATTGATACAATCCATCAGATGAGAGCACGATGAATTGATCTGTGGGGCAGAGTCTATGGTGACGAAGAGAAGGCATGCATGATAAATATGGTGCAGTACCAATATACTCATTCCGAAACATTTCCAATAACGCATCGTTCAACTTTGGCTGCAGAAAAATGGACAGCAACACCGCCTTTTAAGTTAAAAACAGTTGGGTAGTCGTCGTTTCATAATACAAGAGAAAATCAGAAAAGAAGAGAAAAAAAACCATGTAAAAGTCAAGTTGGTCGAACAATCCTATCAACACGTAAAATTATACACAACTGCCACCCAAAAACATATATTACCATGAGATAACTCAAGCTAAAACGATTGTTGTAAGACAAGGAAGTTCATCGGGATAGGAGTGCAACAGACAAATTAGCAGAGATTAGAGTTCCCACCACTCATGCGCAAAAATTATGCAACTCAAACACCCATATAAAGAAAAAGCATAAGTAGTTGATTTTCAGATGCAAGCCATCATCTACCAAGAAATCCATTGGGCAATGTAGACAATGATATTGGTGGTGCAGAAATCAAAAAATTAACTCCCATTGTTGTTAGGACTTCAGAGAATAACAATGCGAGTATAAATAAGCACCTCGGTACAGGAAGAGATCGCAAGGATGTAATCTTTTTCTTCACTAAATAAACCAAAAAGAAACGATGATAAAATAAAAGTTCAATATGAAATATAGGTACTCCCAGTTGACAAAAGCATTTGATTCCAATTTGATCTTTCATCGCTAACAAAAGGTAGCTAACGATGGTTGATTCATCATATCCCTCCAGCCAAACAGTCATCATTCACATAATGAGATGGAGAAGATTTATCAATAACACAATATCTAAAACTTTAATAACTTGAGATCTGAGCGCCCATGTGAATTACTTCCAAACATCCAGACTGCCATTCATACTTTCTATTCACAAAAATATCAATAACTATATTAATATTTGCTCCCACATCCTTTAATAAATGTCTTTCTAAGTTTGGTCGTTCGTATCTGTATATCTGCAATGACCCAAGTAGATCCCATTTTAAAAAAAGATTGCACTACAAAGTGGCATCTAAGGCCGGGGCAGAGGTAACACGGCCCAGAAACAACATCAATACAGTTTTCGAATTGTTGATAATAGAAAAATACAGAAAAATAAGGGATTTCTTTATAATGCAGTGTTGAATTAAGACTTATCAGCATGCAGAAGAAAAGAATAACATTGATTATTGATAAAACTTGGAGTAATTAAATCAAACAGCAAAGGAAGTTCTAGAAAAAAAAGAGGAGCAAGTTTACCAACTACAAACCTGTTTCAAAAACCCTGCACCAAATGCCCTTGTAACCTTTAGACGGCCCTTCACTCTATCGTTGACAATGCATTGTTTATCATCAGGGTGCTCATTCTTTATTCTTTTAACTTCCTGTACATGACAGGATCAAAATTGTTATTCAATAAATGCTTAATCAATATATCATGAAAGTTCTACTGGCCATCAGTATAGGAGTATGGCATATTCATGAACGAAGGTTAGATTCTTTTTACTACAATGGCCAAAATGTGACCATTCGGACGGCCAGGATCACACGTATAAATCCAAGAAACCATAACACAATTTCAACGCCTACAAGACCCCAACTAAAGAAAAATGAATTTGAAAAAAGCTTTAACACAACAAACAGATAATCTCTAATCATTCATGACCATCAGACACTTGAAGGAAAAAGAAATTTAATTTTCAGCTAAGTGTCATCAGCAGAAGTGATTGAAAAGAAATATTAATTGACGTGAAGAACTTATCCCAGGCTGAGAATTATCTATCTTACCTCTTCAATGCTCGTGCTATGATCGGTGGATAGCTGCAATGCAGTTAATCTCGCTGTCTGAGAGGAAGGTTGGTTTGTTCGAGTTATTTTGCCTTCACTCGTATCTGCAGACTCCTCAATTATACCCTCCATGCCTGCTCTTTTGTCGCCCTCCTCTTTCAAGTCTTGATTTGGGCCAACTTCTTGTTGCTCATACTGTGCAACAATGGCACGGCTGTCACCCACATTCATTACATACACATCCTCATCCCTCATTAACACAACCAACAAGCAAGAACCCATCAAAGCAAGCTCTGGATTCGTATCGAGCAACTTATCTGTCATATCCAAATATGCTAATTCAGTTATCTCAAGAGCCCTTGACAATGCGCCCAACACCAACTCATGATCGATTAAACCTTCCTTTCTCCTTTTACCACTTCGATAAGATGTCTCCTCCACCCTATTCTCAGCCTCCTCAACCTTCTCTTTATCTCCCAAACCATACTTCCACGGGAACAAAGTCTTAGCATGATGATGACCCTCTTTATGCTTTGACAAACCTTGTTTTAACTTGGACAATAACAGCCACCTTCTACCAGCTACTGAACCTGCACTATTTACACTAAGCGCATCATCAACTGAAAATGCAAATCTATCTGAACCTGAAAGATCAAGTCCATCCTGTGTATCGTCCTCTGCTAAATACTCCCACAGCTGCCGCCTACGCCTATGCTCCGATCCATCCACGGATTGAAACGTAACCCGCTTCACTGATCCTCGATCAGGGACCTGTTGCTCCGCTTCCCCTTCATTTCCAACTACTGAAACAATCCCATTAGTTTCAATCGTTTGACTGGAGGCCCTCGTAGACGGGTCAGCATTAGTTTCGTTCATACTGACTGTACTCTCTGCAACCACATTTGCAGCAGCCTCCTCACTATCATCAATTTCCCAAAACAATCCCTGAAGCTCATTGAACACTGCTCTATAGAGATTCCCCATCAAGAATTCCGGCGCATCAGGGCCATTAAACCCATCATAAATCCCAACAAACAACCACCCTTGCTCCTCCGATACAACCACATGTACACGATCCTCCCCAGCCTTCCCAAGTGCCCATTGAACATCGCTCTCATTCCTCACCTCCGGCTCATCTCCCGCTGTCGAGCTCTCCTTCCGGGCACCGAAATTCAACACTGGCACCACCCACGGCCGCTTATCGGAAAAATTCCTCGTAAATGCCTTCCTAAACCCCGAAATGCTTTTCTTCCTCTTCTTCTTCATGTACATACCACCAAGCGGAGCGGAGAAATGAACTCTCCCACCAGAGCCAGCAGCAGCAGCACCAGCGCCATCAACATTCGCATCAAGAGGACCAGAAAGCACCCCACGCTCAATTGGACCAGATAGAAAGAACCCACCCCGTTCCAACGGCTCAGTCCCACCTCTGGGCACCGTCTGAAGCGGAAGAGCAGTAAAAGAAGAAGTGCTCTCAAAGCCATTCAAAATACTCCCCCTGACTCCACAACCACCACCGCAAGCCCCAAGCGCAGTGTCAGTGGCATCGTCGTAAACAGCATCGAGCATAAGAACAGATCTGGGAATAGAACTGTTGGCACTTACAGAAGCACCGGAGATGGCCTTGAAGGCAGTCTCGGGCGGAGCAGTTCTAGTCCTAGCCCCCAGCGACGGTTCGTGAGGAGGGGAAAAACGTAGGGAGTGAGAGGGGGAAAGAAAGCGATCGGAATGAGAGGGAGAGAGGAAGCGGTTGGAAGAGCGGACGTAGCAGAAGGAGTGGCCTAGGGTTTCGTCGAGAGCGTCGGAGGCGGAAAAGAGAAGGTCGGGATTGTCGGCGGGATGGGCGGCGGGGCGAGTCTCCGGCTTGAGGCACGAGAAGAGGCTGGAGACTCCGCTTCCCATCACATTTGATTCGAACTTCTGTGAGCTCTAAAGAGAGGCGACGGTGTAA